TTCAAGTTTTCTTCTAGTGAATAGCGACCCATTGCGTAAATTTTAGACTTTTTACTGAATATCTGTTACATTCCGAATGGTATTTGAGAAAAGTATTTTGCTAATTTTTCGACAGTTTTTCACAGAATAAAATAGGAAGATTTCAAAAAATTGCTTCCATAGAGAATGATGTTAAAAATGTAAAATGTCAAAAGTATAATTAGATATCTTCAAAACTCTTCCGTTTTGAAAAACACCATTCTGAGAAGAACGCGTTTATGTTCCCCACCCTGTTCTCTTTCTACAAGAAACGCTGTAGCGACCGTAATAATTTAAATTTTAATTCCAAAATTTGAGAGAATTTTTATTACAGTGTAAACCTCTCGAAAACGTCGGAGGGAATTGGTGCAGGGGTCGCAGGACCACGTACAAAASTMTCCATACCTATGGGWAGGTTTCCGAGCATATTCCAAGCGGAGGTATTTGCTATAAGTCGGTGCGTAGAGGTAAACCTCCATCGCGGCTATCGCAACGAACGTATAGCTATACTAAGCGTTAGCCAAGCGGTCTTCAAGGCAATCTCATCATACGAGGTAAAATCGCTATTGGTACAACAGTATATAGATCGGCTGAATAGTCTGGCAGAAKGCAACCAAGTGCACCTTATTTGGGTGCCAGGCCACAAATACATCGCCGGAAACGAACTGTTCCGCAAGGATGAAGCAGTGGATAGGGAGAGACATTGGCAACAACTTCCAGGCCTGCTTGACGCAAAGTTGCTAATGAATGGATATAACCTGAAGTGGTTTAAATTTATAATCAATCTCCCAAGAGAYAAAGTCAGGCTACTGGTCGCCTTCTATACCGGCCATTGCAAACTTAAAAAGCACTTATTCAATTTGGAATCCGAAACACCAGATTGCCCAGCAATCTGTGGACGCAGGACTAAGGCCCTTGGATCCATGTTTCTAAATAGGGATCACATCGCCTCATTAGCACCTAGCAGTATATTAGTATTCATCAATTTGCTAATTGAGACGCTGTGAGCTAGGAGAGGGCACAATAGACCCTAGGTCGCGGTGCAATCCTCATTCTTTTTATCTATCTTATCTATTACAGTGTAAACTATCTGATCGAGACGACCCTTAATATATATATGTATATTTTCGTATTAAGCAAAAGCGTCGTGCCATTATTGACGAACAAACGTTCGGTGGAAGGTCTAGTTTAAAAGGTTGTAGTCGGCTATATAGACACAAATACTCATATGTACTTTTAAATAATAACTTTTTCGCACTCAATGAAAGAAAGGTAAATTGTTCAAGGTTGAATAGCTTTGTTAAATAATTAGGCACACTCCGTATACGTAAAATTAGCATAAGTACACGAATTTACTCATATACATATATTTTGTATTAATAATTCGATAAATCTATTTAGGTGGTAAGTATATAATAAAAGATTCGAGCGAAATGTGCGGTTGCTATGATTCAACATCGACATGTTCGTCTGTTATTAATTGCTCGCATCTGTTTTGGTTTAAAAAATGCAATTAATAAACTCTGCTAATATTATGATGATATACTCCTTCTGTTTTGGTTTATTCAATTTTCATAAAACATTTCTGACTTGGTTGGAAAATAAATTTGTCAATAAACATTCACTCTCGTTTACATTGCTATGTAATACCCTTTTCATTTTGACATAGGAGATATTGTATGTTGTGTTATTTTGAGCCTTTTTCCCATATTATTGTAAAATTATGTTCCAATTAGTTTGGCATATTTTCACTGCAATACTATATATACATAAATAATCTTATAAGACGAATTGTTTTGCTACTTGATTATAAACTTTGAATTTCGGCATTGTTGTGTTTCGTACCAAAAGCGGTGAATTAGCAAATGAAATCAGATCGAGGTGCCGTGTTTAATTGTCAAGTAAGCGAGTTGCTGATTTGTTGAGTCGTTAATTTCGTCGCTATCTCCGGCTATAATTGCTGAGCTTTGGCCGACCACCTTTTGCCTTCAATGTGTTTTCTTGATTCAGTGCATTTTAAGTCAATGCACGTACACTATCCCCTCCATTCAATATAAAATTGCTGTCGCGTTACATTTCATTTGAAAATGCAAAAAATGTGCATAACTGGTACATAAATATGTACATGCCATATAGTATGTACGTTCAATTAAACATTGCCGACTTTTAACATGCATTGTTTTGAATAAATAATTTTCAACAAATCATTTACCACCACGTTATTTTAAGTCGTTTTGAAATTTCTCAGTTAAGTGATGTTCACGACACACACAACTGTTATAAATGTAATTTACTTTATTCGATTCAAATTTGTAAATTCCTATTTATTTAAAGAGATATAATAATGAAAATCAAAACTATATTGAATTCGGCTTAAATATTTATCATTTAGATATGTCTGATTTTAGTAGAAGCAAGTAATGTAGATCAATATTGAGGTAAACTGCACACTCTCATGCTAAAAAGGCGCATAGATGCACATGCACACCCATATATGGCATATAACAAAAAATTAATAAATTTTGTATATTGTATATATTTTATTATAATTATAGAATATTTATACATACATTTTGTTCAAAATAAATGGTTACATGTATAAATATTGTAGTGTCATACCTTTTACAAAGTCAGCCACTTTAGGAAAGCAATGGTTGCTGCCGAAGTAAATAGGTTAAATCTAATTCAAATTTTTTTTATTTATTGTGTAACATAGAAATAATAAGGTAAATGACGTTGTAGCTCTATCGAATTTTTGTACTATGTATGTATGTGGTGAGTAATAGTTGAACTAATTTTTTGAATAATCTGTATTGGGAAATTATTAATCTCAAATCTTAATGACGCACATTAACAAAAATTTCAGCGGTTATTTAGCCGATCTTAAAGTATCACAAATGGATAAAGTAAACTCAACTTTTCTAATTTCTTATTATTATATTAAATTAATAAAAATCACAAGTGAAATTTGCAAACATTAAAAAAAAAAAATTTGATAAAGCGAAGACAAGTTGATAAAGTAATTCCTCTTTATTTAAATAGTTTTATGGGTTGTTTATTTTAAACTCCGAAGGTCTAATATTTTCTTAAATAATAAAATATGTACTTACCAAAACTTTTACTTAATTTAAATAATTAAAGCAGTCGCCTTTAGGCTGAAATCATTTAAGTATTTAAATTAAAGTAGTTGCATAATAATGCTGTTGTGGTGCTATCCAGCTATTATGATGTGGTTATATTGGAAATACTTTGAAATTCCTATTCGTTTTACAGAACAACCTTTTAAAATCTCCTCAATTGCTTATTTGTAATTAACTCTGTTTCAGAATTTCGATTTTACTACTTTTCATCAATTACACTGGTCTACAGTGGTTTT